CTCTCGGGCGGGGCCCTCGTCCGCCGCTGCCACTGCTGTGGGCTCCTCCGGGACCCCGGGGCCGCCACCGCCGCCGCCGCCGCCGCCGGCGCTCTCTCCCGCGGCCGAGCCAGGGGGGGACATGGCGTAGAGGGGGTGCGTCGAGCTCAGGGCCTCCCGGGGGGCTGCCAGGGGCCGGGGGCATCCTGCGCCGGCCCTGGGGAGAGGACGAGAGGGGGCGGGGCCCCTTCTGCTCCCCACCCCCCGCACGGGGGGAGGGGACCTGTGAAGGGCACAGGGGGGAAGGGGCTCGGGTGGGGAGGCGGGCTGGGGGCCGGGCTGGGGGGGCCGGGGCCGGGGCGGGTGTCACCTTGAGGCCCGCGCGGCGCCGCTCCGCCTCCCGCCCGCTCCCGCCGCCGCCTTTTGTCTGAGCCGAGCTGAAGCCAGCGCGCCCCCCTTCTTCCTCCCAGCGCAGGAGCCCCGCCCCCAGCCCCCCAAACTCCGCCTTCCCCAAGCCTACCGAATAACCACCCCTCAAAGAGAAGAAGCAACAGGGGCTCCCAGTACCCCTTCCCCACTCCTAACCCTGCTAACCGCATGCGTGACACGCATACGCCACCACCATCCTAGAAAGATTTGTAAAACTGAATCTCGGAACCCTAGGAAGACACTTATTCCCAGTTGGGTGGTAAAGAGTTAAGGCAGGAGTCAGACTTAAGAGGCCAGACCCAACTGAAACTGGATGGCACAGGGCGAAAGGGAAAGGATTGGAGCTATGTGTGAGAAAGGACTAACAGGGCAGAGGAGAGAGCATTGGAACCATTCTTCACTGGAAATACTGCCCCAGAGGAGCAAAGAAGAGTGTGCGTTGCCCTGTGCTGGAGACCAGGAAATCAGAGTTATAATTCTTAATCCTGGAGGATTAATTCCATTAACAAGTTGTGTGACCTTGTACAAGTGCCTTCCTTTCTCTGAGCTTTCTTGTTTCCTTATCTGTACAGGGAGGAAATTGACTGGAAAATCTCTAAGACTCTGACCTTCTCTGGGTGTTGGAGGCAAAATCATAGACCATAGGGCAGTCTCAGTGACTGCAGGTAGCCTACCCCTTCACACCACCCATCTGCACTGCTCTTCCCTGCCACACCTAGGACAGCAAGAAACTAACAGTCATTCATTCCTGGATGCAGCCATTCAATTGACAAGTATTAGGTACCTACTGTGTGTCCTGTTCAGAAATGAAATACACAATGTCCTACCCTCAAGGAGCATAGTCCAGTGGGGAGAGGGGACATGGGAATCAATCATTATGATAGAATTGGATAAACGCTATGCATGATCCATTTCTGTGCACAGTAAACTGGAATTCTACTGTGTGTCATGTGCTATGTTGTAGTCTTGGACATATAGTAACTGTTTCCCCCTTTACCCTTTAGGAACTGAGGCAGAGGGAGGATGAGTGACTTACTCAAGGTCACCTGCTAGTACTCACAGAGCTAGTCCTAGAATCCAGATCTTCCCCATTCAAAAGTCTTGGGAGTAGGAAGGTACCTTGAGGCAAAGCCTGGATATCTGATCTTTGGGGGTAGGGGACAAGCACACTGCTCCGCTGGATAGCCCTGCACCTCATTAGGGCAGAAAGGCCACTGCCTCCACTCTACACACACTCACTTTCCCAATCCTGATCCCTTATCCATGTTTCTGCTGTTCCCTTTCCAGGCGAGGTGAAGGTGACTCTGTCTGCCAGTTGCTTCAGAACTATCCAGCCTGCATAATCCTCCCCAGATCAGTGAGTCCATCCTCCCTGCCCAAACAGAGGAAGGGTGTGCTCTTGAAAAGGCAAGGGTGTTCTTTCACTCCGGTGGCAGAGGAGGAGTGGCTCATTCCAATATCTCCCATCTGTGCTTTTTGGAAAGTCCTGCCTCACAGCTAACTCTGATCCTTCTACTTCTGGTTTCATTCTCTTCCACCTCGTTCAGTCCCAGCTGCAGACAGAGAACAGAGGTCCTACCTTGCCATTTCCTAACCCAGATAAAATCCTCACACTCCCCATTTAGTTGTATAATCTTCCTCCTGTTCCCACCCCCACAGCCTTCCCTTTCTCACTTCAGGGGGCTTTGGAAGAGAGATAGGCCAACTCTTTTTGGCCAATCCCAGAGCACCCAAGATATAAAAGAACACCACCGCCCCCCATTCACACACATTACCCTTCCTTTAAAGCCCAGGGAAAAGAGGGGCGAAGGGAGGGGTCTTTGAAGGAGCCAGCTGACCAGCTGGTCACCATGGCAACTGGGCCTGCTTCCAAAAGATGAGCCTTGCTGGGGTGGGTGGAAGCTGGGAGTGGGAGAACAACTAAGAGAACTAGAAAACACCAGCATGGGGAGGGAGGGGGCATGGAGAGAGAGAGAGAGAGAGAGAGAAATGCTGCGAGGGACCCAGGCTCGAAGAAGACCGGGGCTGAGGAAACAAAGTCAGGATCCTGACCACACCGTGGCCTAAGTCAAAGTTCCCTGGCCATCATCTTTCCAGATGATACCTCACAGTCCCTCTATTCCTGAAGTTTCCCCAGAAAGGCTTCCTGTCAGAGTGTAGGTTAGGTGCTGGAAGCAGTGGGTGACTCAATCCTGACCTCATGTGGCCAGAAAAGGGGCTGCGACATAGCTGTTACCGTTCAGTGCCAGACAGGGCTGGATGGGGTAGATTTTTCCTTAAACTCAACTTCTGTATGAATGAGAAGTGTGGCCACAGAATATTCCTGAGTTCTTGTGTCCTTGCAAAAGGCTCAGATGCTCCAAGCCCTTAGGCCTTCCTAAAGGAAAAAAAACCACTGAAAAAATAATAAGTATTGATGAGGGACAGGAGAACCTGGCTCTGCACTTTGTGTTACCTTAGGAAAGTCCACTCACCTCTCTGAGCCTCAGCTTCCCAACTTTAAAATGGAGATAGTGCCAGGTTTTGAACCCCAGTGGTCTGGGTCTGAGTTTAGGACTGTATTTTTATTCTGGCTTTTGAGAATAGGAGAGGAACATGTCAGAGGAGGAAGCTGAAAACCTGAAATCACATGACCCCAAGGGAAGAAGATGCCTCAATTTCCTTGGGCTTTTCCCTAATCACTTCTTACTGCCTCATGCTCAACATATCCTCCCTCTCTGGTCCTCCAGGGAGATGGAGAGCAAGCAGTGGGTCATCTCCTCCCATCTGCTCTCCCCTCTCTCCTCTCTCTTTACTAACCCCCTCCTCCCAAAGACTAGGTACTTCTCCTCTCCCCAGACCTCTTCCCTTCCCATTTCCAGCTCAAATGGAAACTTTCTTGCCCTTCACCCCCCTGAGTAGTTGGTCTCACCATGTGCCGCCACAGCACCTGTTCTCTCTCCTGTCTTAGCACAATCACCGTGTTTTAATTGCCAGGGAGCTTTTTGGAGGTTGGAGTCATGGGGCAGTTTTGGTAGTGGTGGGGATGGTGGCTGGTGGGCTTGGTGGTTGGTGGATATTACTGTCACTGTGATACTCGGTTTGGCTTCCAGGAGAGAGAACAATGTCATACATGTATGCGAAGTTCCATACATGTTTGTCAAATGGATGAATAAAATGAGGTTGCATGAGGAAGGGCAGTAGGGAAGCTGGTTAGTAGCTGTCTACATTCACCCCAGGATTCTTCCCCCAATGCCAGAGATAGAAAAGGATGCTCCCTTGGGGATGATCTTCTAAAGGCATTGCTAGCCCATGGTCAATGGCACTTGGGGCAGGGGGGAAATCACAGGGTAGGGGGTAAATCATGGGGCACTGGTTTGGGGCTTACCATGTGGGTGGGGTTTGCCTATGGCCTCCCTGGGCCCAGGGAAAGCAGGGATAGGGAAGAAGGAACGATGTGTTGGCACTGGTGCTGGGGTCGGGGTGGTCAGCTCAGCAGTGTGGCCCAGTATGTCTGGGGCCTCCCTATCCTGTCCCCACCCCGAGGAACTAAACTTCCCTGACAGGTGGAGGTAACCAAATATTGTCACCACCGAGACCAGTGCTTCACCTCTGTGAGGAATGACCACTCTGCTTTTTTAGACAACAAAAAATAATAATCAACCTCCTTCTTTTAGACAACAGTCTTCCTGAGAAAACCCACTTCTGAAAAACACATCCTTATGTCCAATTCTATGTGATCTGGGAAGTTCAAACAAAATCCTCTATCCAGGACCCAAAGGGAGAATCTGTTCTCTAAAGACAACGAGTGTCCCTTTCCCCTCCCCAAACTCCTGGGAACTGGTAGACAAGTCGAGAGAAATGGAGAGAAATAAATGGGAGATAGGAAGCAATGCTTCCTGATCCCACCAGCCACGTGCCCAGTCCCCACAAGATGCCTAGTTTGTACAATTAATGAATACTTATTTAATAGTCCTGGTTGGTGTGGCTCAGTGGATTGAGCGCTGGCCTGCGAACCAAGGGGTCTCCGGTTCGATTCCCAGTCAGGGCACATCCCTGGGATGTGGGTCAGGTCCCCAGTGAGGGGCGATCGAGCAGCGACCACACATTAATGCTTCCCTCTCTTTCTCTCTCCCTTCCCCTCTGCCTAAAAATAAATAAGTAAAATCTTTTAAAAAAATTATTTAACAACAAATGAATGAGTAAATGAATGGAAACAATAAATGAAGAAATGGAGGAAGTGAAGGAAGGAAAGAATGATTGGAATTATGAATGGAGTGAAGGAAGTGGGAAAAAGTGAATGAATAAATGTACGGAGGGACGAATGAATGAATGGAGGGAAGGTGGGAGGGTAGAAGGCGGACGGACAGATGGATGGACGGACGGACCGATGGATGGATGGATGCATGCATGATGAATGATGAATGGGTGCATTAACGCAGGGATGAGTCAGGACGGGGTAACCCCTGACTCCAGAGGGCGGTGTAAGGGGGATTCCGGAGGGCGGGGTTTCTGTCCGGAAGCGCCTGTCGGGGGCGGGGCCTGAGGGGCGGGTGGAGGGAGTGCGTCAGACTCGGCATCCCGGCTTCCCAGAGTAGCCACTAAGGTGGACCCCACCAGCGCTCCGAGCCATCCCCGCGCTTCTCGCTGACTGCTCGGACCCCCGCAGCCCGGGAAGGACGTCATTCCAGGCCAGGTGCCCGTTCCGCCAGGCAGACCTGCAACCCGGAAAGACAGTGCGGCGGAGCCCGGAGCCGGATCCTGCTTGGACAGGGCCCCCGGGGACCGGTGTCGCGGGCATGTCGGAAGCGCGCAAGGGGACCGAAGAGCCGGATGAGAGCCAGTGTGATTCGGGTATCGAGTGTCTGCGCTCTCTGCGCTCCCTGCCCTCCCTGCCCGAGTCCACCCCGGCCTCAGCCTCCGGGCCCTCGGACCGGGGAGGCCCCCAGCCCTGGACCCATCATCCTCCGGGAACAACCAAAGAGCCACAGGGGAAGGAAGACACAGACGGGGAGAGGGCTGACTCCATCTATGGTTCCTCGTCGCTCACCGAGTCTTTGACCTTTTGGGGAGGCCCTGAGACCGAAAACCCATCCCCAGGCTCGCCGCCACCTCCAGTTGGGGCGCTGAGCCCTCAGCAGCTGGAAGCACTCACTTATATCTCTGAGGACGGAGACACGTGAGTATGGGGGCTAGGCTGACACGGCACCCCTTCCCGATGCTAACTCGGAGCCTCCCTAGGAGAAGCAACAGGCCGGTTACCCACTCTATGATAATCCCTCAAGGCACCTGCCCTGGAAGGGGCAACCTCTACTCTCTCTTCCAAACTCCAAACTTAACTCTCAGCCTCCTTTTGCGCTCTAGCCGGGCCCAGAGCAGAGGACCTGGAATCGTCCCTCTGCCCTCCCTTTTGGAGGAGGGCAGAGCTGGCAGGGCCCTTTCCAGGCACCTGGAGCCCCAACTTGAATCTTGGCAACCTACCAATAACCCACCACTAGGAAGAGAAATTCCCCTGACCAGTCCGGTTGGTTTTTTTTGTTTTTGTTTTTGTTTTTTTCCTCCCCTCGCTGGGGGAGAGGGCATCCTTGCTTGGGCAATATCTGGAATTCCCGGCCCCTGACCTCAGAATGCCCTGTCTGAGGGAACAAGAGGTGCCAGTTACAGGCCGCCGATGGAGGCCAGGAAGCAAGCGGTGAAAATATTGCCAGGGTGCAGAGCCGATGCTGGCCCTGAGGAGGGGTGAGGTGGTGAGCGAGGTTGGGGCACTCTGGCCCCAGCAGACTGATAGGCAGCTGGGTGCCCTAACTCACTTCCTTCTCTGCTGAGAAAGGGGAAGTGAGGGTTGGAGTCAGCCTTTTATCTCCTGAGCAGCCCCTAGAGTCCCCCTCACTATCCTGTCTGACTCCCTTACTTTACCAGGTGGAGTTTGGTGGGGACTGGGACAGGAGACAGTTGAAGTAAGAGGCAGCAGTGCGAAAGGGCCAGTTGAGGATTTTCCCCTCAGAAAGAAAAAGCCAGTTAGGAAAGGGGGTGGCTGGGATTTGGGAGTGAGAAACAGAGTGGAGGGATCTGAGGTTCTAGATCTGGGATGCTGAACAAGGTGCTGAGAGGATGTAGAAGGGGCATGCCCTGTCCTGACCTGCTTTTTGGAAATGGAAGGGTCCTAATCCTGAGACCTTTGACAAAGATAACCTAGAGACCCAGTGGGCAGGAGAGGAGTGACCCCAGGCCTTTTGTATTCTGTGCCCAGATCACCAGCCCTCAGGCCCAGAACCAAGATTTTGGAGGCTCCTGTGAAATGCCTGTGGCTGACCTTTGACCCAGGGAGTGGGGAGTTCTGGTGCTGCCCTCCTTTGTCAGCCTCTCAGCCCAGCCTTTACTGCTTCTAGTTACAGACAGGTGTTGTTTCTAGACTCAGCAGGGGGAGGTGTCAAAACTCCGCAGGGGGTGTCTTCCCTTGGAAGTGTCTGGGGTGTGGGACAAATGGAAGTAGGAAGAGGAAGTGGGAGGAGGGGAGACTGAGGGAGAGAGGGAGGTGGCTGCAGGAATGTGACCCAGAGAGCTAGTCCTGGCCGAGGGGATTTCCAGAGCAGTTCCTCCCTCCCTCCGTCACTCTCTCCTGGGCCTCTCCCGCTGCCGCCTCCCCCAGGCCTGCCCCGCTCCTGCCTGAGCAGCCCCCTCCCCAGCCCAAACAGGCCTTTGAGCCAAACTACCCCAGTCACTAATGCTTCAAGGCAGCTGTACTGGCCTAGACCCTCCAGCTCTGGCTTTCATTTTCCCCACCTGATGTGGGGAAACCCCAGCACTGGAACTTCCCCTCCCAGCTGCCCTCCTAGCCCTAGGTTAAGGCTCTTTGTCCCCCAACAAACACATTTTCTGCACTGCACAGACTTCCCCTTGGAGGTGCCAGACCCACCAGTCTGTGCTGTCTGAAGAGTGGCCCTCTTGACTCACTCCCCTGTCGGGGGCAGCAGGATAGGATGTTGCACTTCTCCTTGCTCCTCATCCACGAGCTTCTGTTTCCTCTCCCTTGGCACATACAACATTGAGTTCCTGGGATCGGGGTGACCCCACTCCTGCCCCCTCTTCTCTCTATTGGGATGGGGGTAAGTGGGGAGCTCAGCCCTGCACACCACCTTGGCACTACCCTAGCAGCTTTCAGTTGGGCTTTGGAGCTGCAGATTGGCGGGGCCTTGGGGCCAGAGGGGAGCGGGGTGTGGGACAGGAAAGACCTTGGCCCGTCAGCACCCTGCCTGCACTCTCACTGAGCCAAGGCCCTCCTTGAAGGCCAGAGATGGGGACTTGGAGCCTCCATCTCCCAGGATCCTGGCTCCCAGAACCAACCCTCACTTCCTGGCCCAAACTCTCACTTCCTGCACCTATGCTCTGAGTGGCCTCTTAGGGATGTATTCCTTCTAACCCCAGGACCCCAGGCCACTCTCTTTGGCCTGGGCCCTGACACAAAACCCTGCCCCTGCCCTCCAGGCTGATCCACCTGTCCGTAATTCACGAGGCCCCAGCTGTGCTGCACTGTTGCCTGGCTTTTCTGCCCCAGGAGGTCCTGGACATTCAGAACAACCTTTACCAGGTGGGAAAGGGTGGGCAGTGCCCAGATACCCGTATCTGCCCTGGCAGTCATGCCAAGCAGCCACATGAGTGACCTTAGGTTGCTTACTCAGGAAACTATGTGGCAGACACTGAGCTAGAAGCTGAGGATACAAATATGAGTAAGGCACAGCCTCTGCCTACAAGGTGCTCGAGCCCAGTCTAGGGGACTTGTGTCTACAACTAGTTACACAGCATGGTGACAAGAGTTGTGATGGAGACATATACCAGTGGCTGTGGCATCCAGTGCCTGTGGGGAGCAGCCAGGGGAGGGTTAATATAAGTGGTGATATCTGCATGGAGCCTCCAAGAGGAGTGTGCTAGGTGGAGACTGCCTGGTGACTCCCCTTCCTCTCCCCAGCCCCTCTCTGTCACCCAGTCCTTGAGGATAACAGAGGTCTCCCTAGAGGGTGAGAAGGTAGACCCTGCCCTTATCTGTCCCTTCTCCAGGGGCTAAGGGAACCTACAGGAAGAGCAGGGGGCCACTTTCCTTACCCAGCATCCAAGATAGGGGTTGCAAGAGCTTGGTGGGGGGTGCCAAAGGGAAGGGCTTGGTAGGGTGGCCTTGGAAGACGAAGACCATAGCCTCTATAAGCTGCCCTTAAGGAAGGTGCTGGCAGTTGTCAATTCCTGTGCTCACCTGAGCATGTCCCCAAAGGTGGGAGCATGCTGCAGTGGCCCTGTGACCCTCTGTTTGTGCCTACAGACAGCACTCCATCTGGCTGTACATCTGAACCAGCCAGATACAGTTCAGGCCCTAGTGCAGAAGGGGGCCAGCCGCATGCTACAGGACCGGCATGGTGACACAGCCCTGCATGTGGCCTGCCAGCGCCAGCACCTAGACTGCGCCCACTGCCTGCTGAAGGGTCAGCCAGAGCCAGGCAGAGGACCAGCTCACTCCCTGGACCTCCAGCTGCAAAACTGGCAAGGTACACGGGGCAGCTGCAGGGCCCAGAGGAGACAGGGTCCCCACTCTCAGGGAAGGGGAGGCGGTGGCTTGTACATCAATGCACCTCCAATTCTAAGAACATAGATGCACAGTACATATTTGCCGAATGAATGAATTTGATTTAGAATTTACTTAGAACCTGCTATGTGCTAAACAGAGAGCTAAACCTTGCCCTTAAGATATGTATTCTGTTGTAACAAAGATCAGTAATTCATTCAACAAAAATGGACTGAGGGCCTCTATGTGCCAGACACTATTCTAGGAGGTGGGCCTGTATCTGTGAGTAAAACAGAGAATGATTGAGACAGACAATAATCATAGGAAATGGGTTCTCGAGCAGGTTAAAAGGCAGTAAGGGCTACGGGAAGGTAGACCAGAGTGAGAAGAACTGGCATCGGGGGAATGGGGATTATATGTGATGAAACAGGTTGGCCAGGGAAAGTTCATGAAGCAGGGACATTTGAGCATAGACTTGAGAGAAGAGAGGCATGTGAATCGGAATCTAGTCTCTAAGCAGAGGGGAATCCAGGCCAGAAAGGAGAGAGCAAAAAGACGAGCGGAGCACACAGGAGGAAGTAGCGCTGGGGAACGGCTGGGGGCATGAGGATCCCAGAGGCCTCTGAACAAGATGGCTTTGGGCAGGTCTTGAAGGCAGGCAGAGTTAGGGTTAGAGGGGATGGGGAAGGCAGGCTTTTGGGGGAGAGTGTATGTATGGGGGTGTCACTCAGCAACCTGACCCCTGAAGCATGAAAGTTTCAATAACATGACTGAAACAGTGGAAACTTTGCATTCCTTTCCCCTCAGACTTTTGAGGGGGTTTTTGGGTTTGTGTTTTAACAGCTCTATGATCAGAGTTATTGAGTGGGCAGTCGGTCCCTTGGGGCCGAGGGGTAGGGAGGTCCCTAAAGAGTTGGGGACAAGGAGTTGGTGGGTGCAGATCGAGAGCCCCTACGTTCCCCCCATTCCAGGTCTGACCTGTCTCCACATTGCCACCCTGCAGAGGAACCAGCCACTTATGGAACTGCTTCTTGAAAATGGAGCTGACATTGATGTGCAGGTGAGGTGGCCACTGGTCCAGCCCCCAGGTCTGCTTCCAGTGTAAGAAGTGGTGACACCTTATCCAGGGCCCAGGTCCAACATGCTTCCTCTAGAGGGCCTTGGCTGACATCCTTATTCTCCTCCAGGAGGGCACGAGTGGGAAGACAGCGCTGCACCTGGCTGTGGAGACCCAGGAGCGGGATCTGGTGCACTTCCTGCTCCAGGCTGGGGCCCGGGTAGATGCCCGTATGCTCAACGGGTGCACACCCCTGCACCTCGCTGCAGGCCGGGGCCTCAAGAGCATCTCATCCACTCTGCGTGAGGCAGGCGCCGACTCTCTGCTGCGGAATGTGGAGGATGAGACGCCACAGGACCTGGCTGAGGATGTAAGAGGCATACACTCAGCTCTGCTCTCCAGTCCCTCCCACACCCATAGCAGAGACAAGTGCTGCCACGGCTGGAAGGGCTAAGAGGTTAGGGTCCTGGGTACAATCCAAGGCTCTGCCGCTGACCAACCGTAGGACCTAGAGCAAGCTACTGCCCCTCTCTCAGCCTCTTTTTTTAGTTGGCCATGGCCCAGGGGCCCAAACTTGGACTCCTACAGGAGCCCTGCAGCTGAAGTGGATCAGTTAAGCAGGCCAGATGTAAGACAGCAGGGTGTTGGGGTCTGTGGCACCAGAGTCTCTTCCCAAAGCTCACTCTATTCAGCTTCTGCAAATAGTTGCAGAGGAGGAATATGGACCCAGTATTTCCAGCTCTTGGGGATGTTTTGAGAGGTGAAACCTAGGTTTTCTGTACAGTCTGCCATTTTTCAATGTCTGATGTAAAAAATATTCAAAATGTTTTGTGAGTCCCCTTCCCCCTCACTCCCCCCAGAAAACCAGACCCACAGGCTGGGTTGCCTCCTTGATCCTTCTTATCTGTAATATTCAGGGATTTCCTTAGAGAGTGAGGGCTTGCCTAACTCTCAAGCCCAGAGGGGCCACCATTTAGGAAATTAGTAGGAAGATTTGTTCCCTGCTGTTCAACTGTCTGTTGATAGGGAGGAAGTGGCCCAATAGGTCTCCCCAGCTTCCTTCCCCCACCACTGCCTTTTCCCCCGGCCCCAGCCCTTATCTTCCTTCTCTCCACTCTCTTTCTCAGCCCTTTGCTCTTTTGCCCTTCGATGACCTGAAGATCTCTGGAAAGCCGCTGATGTGTGCCGACTGAAGCCAGGGCAGGGTCTGGGGCCCTGGAGGCTTCACCTCTTCCCACCTGGAAGCTGGAGCCACAGTTGCTGCAGTCTGGGCCCAGGCAATGTGCCCTCTGGAGTCCTGGGGACTGCTGGGGCCAGCGCAGTCCCGAGCTGAGAGGAGGGATCACAAGTAAGGGAGAGCCAGCCGGGAAGGAAGAGCTTCCCAGGTGGATGGAGATTCTTGGAAGAGCCCCCGCCAAAGCCCCAGGTATCCTGGGTGAAGCCTCTTTACCTCTCTGGAAGATGACAGGGGCTCTTGTTTCTACCCATGTTGGGTCAACCTGAAACTGCCAGCCAGTAGGAAAACAAGGACTCTCCGGAGTGAGGAGAGAAATGGAAATGAGAGCGAGCAGGGCCCTGAGGGCTTCCATCTCACTGCTGTTGAGGACTGCTAAACACTGTTGTTTAAAGATCTGACACTGAAGGCCTGGACTGAGCTTTGGGGAAGGGGAAGTTTCAATAACATGACACTAAAAAGGCACAGACTTCTAAAAAGTTCCCCCCATAGTTGTTTTGTACAAATGCATGCCTGTGCACATTGGGGATTTTTGGACAGGCGTGCCCTGTGATCTTGTGGTAGAGGCAGAAGGAAATTGTCACCTGAGCAGGGTAGGACCTTGCTAGGTAGGGAAGGAGGGCTAACAGTCTTCAGTCCTCTGTGTCCAGCACAGACCTTTGCCCTTTCTGTGGAAACACAGAGAGACGGAGGAAAAAGAGAAATAAGGAGACACAAGTGGGAGACCTCACCACTGCCTTGGAGGTTGCCTCCTGGAGGAGCCTAAGAAGGAGGGCCAGCCTAGGGAGGGTGACACGAGGGACCTGTGGCTTTTTAATGTTTCTTCTCATATTCCACACATATTTAGAGGCCCTGTTAGGTCAGACCTATGCTGGGATGAAGAATATGGGAATAAACAAACAGTCTCCAGCTACTTGGAGTATATAGTGAGTGAGGCAGCCATTAAAATCATAAACGTCTATTTCCATATGATATGTAAATATGTAATTACAAGTTGCAATGGATGCTGTGAAGGACAAAAAAAATAGTGGAAAGAAGAACAATGGAGAGGGTGGAGGGCCAGATTGTGGGTGGTCAGGCAGGCTTCTGAGTGTCATTTCAACTTGGACGTAAGGATGAGTAAGGGATGGGGGGAGAGGCGAATTAGAGGAACTGAGAACAGGCCAGTGGGACTCCACAGGGGATGGGTGAGTGGGAGAGGAAGACTAGGGCCAGGTCATGCAAGAGCCTTGAAGGTCATGGGCAATGGGGGGACAGAACTGCTGGCCCAGCCAAAAAAGGGAGACATCTTCCTGTCAGAAAACGGTAACATAAGGGGAAGTGCTTGGGTCAGAACCGCAATGTCCCCGCCCCTAAGATGGCAGTGCCTCCCCGCTCCTCGTCAGATCTATTGGAGATGAGAAGCAGGGGGAGGCACAGGGCTTAGGGCTCCCCACCTCCCCTGCCCAGCAGCAAACTCCCGGGCACCGAGCAGCATTTCCCTCCGGGCCGCGCGGGGGCGCTGCGGCCCGGGGCGCTGCGTGGTCGCGGCAGGGGGCGGAGGGGCGGCCGCGGGCAGGGAGGGAGGCGGGAAGATCGCGGCACTTCCGCTAGCCGCTGGCTCGCTGGCAGCTTCTGGAGGCGACGGCGGGAGCGGAGGGACCGCGCGGCCCGGGGCCTCGCATTCCCCGGCCCCCCTCCGCCCCACGCGGCCCGGACCATGGTTGCCAGGTGGGGGGCTCCGGGGTGGTGAGTCCACGTGACCCAGCCCCGAGGCCACGTGACTGCCGCTCCTCGGCCGGGTGGGCCGGGTGGGCCGGGTTGGGACCCAGCTGCTGAGCGGTGGGCCCACCAAGCGCTACGCCGAGCCAGCCGAGCCGGCGGGGCCGGTTTGCGGCGTGGACTAGTGCTTTTAGGGGGACTTAGAGGGTGTCACGCGGAGGAGCTGGGGAACCCCAGGGCTCGGGAACCTGGGGGGCGGGGGGAATGAGGGGGCACCGCCTCTGGCCGGAGCAGCCGGCGAGCTCTGGAGGGAACAGAGGGAACCTGTGTGGCCGGAGGGGCGGGTCCGTCCCTGGGGAGGGAGGAAGCCTTGCCTGGACGGCGCCGGCCCCCCAAGGCGAGAGAGAGGTTCTTTGTCCCGGCCGGGCTGCAGCTGAGGGGGGCGGGGAGGTGACTCCGGGCTCTTCTCTAGTGTGGTCTCCTCTGAAGGACCCAGCGGATGATGAACTGTACCCTAATCCTTTTGTCCGCTGTCCCCGCAGGTGGTGGGCAGTGGTGGTGCTGGTTGCGCTCCCCTCCCTGGGCGCAGGTGGGGAGACCCCCGAAGCCCCTCCGGAGTCATGGACTCAGCTATGGTTCTTCCGCTTTTTGGTGAATGCTGCTGGCTATGCCAGCTTTATGGTACCCGGCTACCTGCTGGTGCAGTACTTCAAGCAGAGGAACTACCTGGAGACAGGTGTGTGGGGAAAGGGTGGGGGAAGTGTGCTAGGTCCATGTTGTGTTGGCCAGCTGTCCAAACAGGGATGTGGCTTGGAAAGGGAGGGAGGGAGGGCAGCAGACCCAACCGCAGGGCAGGCTGGCTGCTCTGGAGAAGATGATGAGATGCTAGGAAGAAGACTGGGGCTTGACCTTGTGTGCCTTCTTCAGGCAGGGGTCTCTGCTTCCCTCTGGTGAAAGCTTGTGTGTTTGGCAATGAGCCCAAGGCCTCCGATGAGGTCCCCCTGGCTTCCCGGACAGAGCCAGCAGAGACCACTCCTACTTGGCAGGCCCTGAAGCTGCTCTTCTGTGCGGTGGGACTCCAGGTAGGTAGGCAGGCAGGCAGGCAGGCTCTGCGTCTCTTCCTGGGTTGGGTCCAGGTCGGCTGGGTTTCTGGAACCAAAGTTTTCACCCTGTCAGTGTGCTGGTTGGTGTGTTGTGTCCATACTGCACCACTATCCTCTTAAAAGTGGTTGAGAAAAAAATTTTTCCTCCTCTTTTTTCTGTGATTTCTGCTGTCCTTTATTACACTTTCCCCTGCAATGATATATTTCATATACTGTAAACCCACTATTCCTTCCCCCACCCCATATGTGAGGTTACAAAGATGTTGACCTCATCGCATTTTTGAGTAAACGCTAATAGTTCCACCTCATATAACATGTTAAACTGATAGGTGTCCGATCTTAAGAATTCTTTCCTCCCTGAATTGGTTGGGAAAGAGGAAAATACTTGGGATGGAGTCAGCTCTAACCAATCCTACTGTGGGGACACACAGGGTCTGGATAGTTCTAAAGTTCACATCACACACATTTGATTCCTTACAAGATGAATCCAGGCTTTGGAGGGAAGGGGAAACTTCTAGTTATTCCAGAGGAACCAAAATATGTATGCTGTCCTTTTAAGTCATTTAAACAGCATTGTGAGGAAGAGGGAGGTTGTTGAGATCCTTTCTTGCCAGCCTTTTCCTTTTATCTTCTGTGTTTCTACCCTCCCCACCTAGGTGTCTTACCTGACTTGGGGAGTGCTGCAGGAAAGAGTGATGACCCGGAGCTATGGGGCCACAGCCACGTGGGCAGGTGAGCGCTTCACAGACTCTCAGTTCCTGGTGCTAATGAACCGAGTGCTGGCACTGATTGTGGCCGGCCTCTACTGCCTCCTCTGCAAACAGCCCCGACATGGGGCACCCATGTACCGGTACTCCTTTGCCAGCCTGTCAAATGTACTTAGCAGCTGGTGCCAGTATGAAGCTCTCAAGTTTGTTAGCTTCCCCACCCAGGTGCTGGCCAAGGCCTCTAAGGTGATCCCTGTCATGCTGATGGGAAAGCTGGTGTCTCGGCGCAGCTATGAACACTGGGAATACCTGACAGCAGGCCTCATCTCCATTGGGGTGAGCATGTTTCTGCTGTCCAGTGGACCAGAGCCCCGAAGCTCCCCGGCCACCACACTCTCAGGCCTGATCCTGTTGGCAGGCTACATTGCCTTTGACAGCTTCACCTCAAACTGGCAGGATGCCCTGTTCGCCTATAAGATGTCCTCAGTGCAGATGATGTTTGGGGTCAACTTCTTCTCCTGCCTCTTTACTGTGGGCTCCCTGCTAGAACAGGGGGCCCTCCTGGAGGGTACCCGCTTCATGGGGAGACACAGCGAGTTTGCTGCACATGCCCTCCTGCTCTCCATCTGCTCTGCATGTGGCCAGCTTTTCATCTTCTACACCATTGGACAGTTTGGGGCTGCAGTCTTCACCATCATCATGGTCCTCCGCCAGGCCTTCGCCATTCTCCTCTCCTGCCTCCTCTACGGCCACACCATCACTGTGGTGGGTGGGCTGGGGGTGGCTGTGGTCTTTGTTGCCCTCTTGCTCAGAGTCTATGCCCGGGGCCGTTTAAAGCAACGGGGAAAGAAGGCTGTGCCCGTAGAGTCCCCAGTGCAGAAGGTCTGAGGGACCTGAGGGGCAAAGTGAAGTAGGACCCTTTCACCATACTTTACCGTTTTCCTTTTCTACTGTAACTTATCAGAGGCGACCAGTTCAAGGACAAAGTGTAGGTATTTTCTCAGTATCACAAACCAGCTCTGCAGTTAAGGGCAGGGAGGCCAGGAGGCAGCCTTTCCTTTTGCCTTAAGTCACCAGTCTTCTAGTAGGCAGGATTCTTGAGCCCCAGGGTAGAACCATCTTCCAGAGTCTCTTCCTCCTCAAATCCCCTGAAATCTTGCCCTGTTAACACTGCTATGTACCTCACATGTGCTTGTCCCTTGCCCTAAATACCCACCCTTCTAGCCTCTTTCCCATGCCCTAAATACCCATCCTTCTAGCCTCTTTCCCAGAGACCTGCATTACTTACTCTGGTGATTGTAGGTGGTATGCTGCTTTCCTAGGGTAAATGAAAGATGGTGCTCTGCTAGGGGGAGGGGTTGGGAGAGCCCTGCCCAGCAACACCACCTATGCTCCTGGAACCCTAGGCTCTGATCCCCAAGCCAGTTGCAGGTTTTGGTACTTTGGAAATGTAACTTTCTGCTCTATTTTATTTTATTAAATTGCTGCAATAGGCTTGGTCTTGTGCTTTGGTTGACAAGTACATGCTTTACAGAGGGGACTGAAAGTGTTAACATGATATATAGTTCTCTAGTCAGTGTTGTGACTTCAACTGCTACATTAGCTTTTGATGTACTACTGTGTGTATGTACCCCGTAACCTGTTCTGATGGTGAGACTCAGGATAGAGTAGCCAAGGGAACTCAAAAACTAGCCTTCTATCTACTTTGTGAGAACAAAACTACATAAAACTGCATCTTATTTTGCATACTTTAATTTCAGAACAAAATAAAAAATACACAACATCCAAACCCAATGTCAAATATGAGAAGGGAAGGGTTTGAGGCCCTTGTAACCTGCCTTGGGCAAAGACAGGAGAGGAAAAAAACCCCACTAAACAGCATAGGAAAACCAGGTGGACTAGGGCCACTCAGGGCTGCTAGGGAAGCCATGAAGACACTACACAGAGGATACAAGGTCTGCAGGTAGAAACTCCTAGTCTACTTCTTCCATGCGAGAGGCATCCTCATCACCCTCAAGGGGGGGGATCTCATCAGGAACGGCAGCACTGGGTTCTTCTGCTGTTACTTCATCTTCATCAATGCCTAAAAAGTGGGGGGTGGGGGGGTGTCACAAGAGATTTGACCCAAGTCCTACCTGTCCCCACAAGACCAGCTCCCCAAATTCCTTGTCACACTCAGCTAATGGGTACTCACCTAGACCTAGCTTGATCATGCGATAGATGCGGTTGGAGTGGGTCTGGGGATCTTCAAGTGAGAAGCCAGAAGAGAGCAGTGCAGTTTCAAACAGCAACACTACAAGGTCCTTGACAGCCTTGTCATTCTTGTCTGCCTCTGCCTTCTGCCGTAGTGTCTCCACAATGGGGTGGTCAGGGTTGATCTCCAGGTGCTTTTTGGCCATCATGTAGCCCATTGTGGAGTTATCACGAAGTGCCTGGGCTTTCATGATACGCTCCATGTTAGCTGTCCAGCCGTACGTGCTAGTCACAATGCAGCAGGGTGAAGACACAAGTCTATTGGAGATCGTCACCTATGGACAGGCATAAAAACCTTAGGTTATATTAAACCAGATCACCACTTCCATATGAAAGAGTATTTGAAGTTCTATTCTCAAAATAATTGCCTAACCTTTGCCAAATTTCAACCTTAAATTTGTCTGCTTGAGAGCGCAAGGTCAGATGGCTCTAAATTAGGTTGCTTAAAACCACTAATTATATAACAACACAAGATTCTAAGGGAAACAATCCAAAGGCATCTGTTACAAAACAGATCAGCCCCAGAATTGCTTACCTTCTCAACCTTCTTATCCAAGATCTCTTTCATGAGTTTGCAGAGATTCTCAAACTTGGCCTTGCTCTCTTCCATTTTCTTCTTCTCCTCCTCATCCTCAGGTAGCTCCAGGCCCTCCTTGGTAACCGAGACCAAACTCTTCCCATCAAACTCCTTGAGCTGCTGCACACAGTACTCATCGATAGGCTCTGTCATATACACTACCTCAAAGCCCCGCTTCCGTACTCGCTCCACAAAAGCAGAGTTGGCAACCTGCTCTTTGCTCTCACCTATAGGGTTATTAGTGAAATGTGACTCAGACAAAATCTTCATACCATCAGTTCCCATGAACCCGATTGAGGGCCCCCCCACACCCTAATCCCTACATCTCTAAGGAGAGGCTTTAATTAAGACCCAGGCTCCAACGCACCAGTGATGTAATAGATAGACTTCTGGGTCTCCTTCATGCGAGAGACGTATTCCGAAAGAGAAGTCATTTCATCTCCAGACTGGGAGGTGTGATAGCGCAGAAGCTCAGAGAGGCGCCGGCGATTAGTTGAGTCCTCATGGATCCCAAGCTTTAAGGGTGGGGGTGGAAAAAGTCTCATTTGCAAATAACCTCTTACCCTCTCTTGTGAACGGGGGAAAAAAAGAAACCCATTTTAATTATGAAGTAAGCAAGCATTTGCTGCCTCCTTACCTTTAGGTTTTTAGAGAATGCCTCATAGAATTTCTTATAGTTCTCCTTGTCTTCTGCCAGCTCAGAGAAGAGCTCAAGGCACTTCTTAACAATGTTTTTACGAATGACCTTCAAGATTTTACTCTGCTGAAGCATTTCTCGGGAGATGTTCAGGGGCAGGTCCTCAGAGTCAACCACACCACGGATGAAGTCTGCAATCACAGGAAAGAGAGCTCAGTTAAAAAAAAAAAAAAGATAAAAAAAGGCAGACGAATTTAGTTCATCTAAATTCAGCAGAATACATTTTTACACTGAACCTTCACTGGCTATGTTGCAGAATATCCTTACTTATGTAAGATACAGACTTCAGTCCCCGAGAATGCTTAAATCCTCATAGAACTTTACTCAACTAAGTAATATTAGGCCAAGAGGTTACTTACTGAGATACTCCGGTATCAACTCATCACAGCTGTCCATGATGAACACACGACGGACATACAGTTTGATATTGTTCTTCTTCTTCTTGTTCTCAAAGAGGTCAAAGGGAGCCCGACGGGGAATGAACAGCAATGCCCTGAATTCCAACTGACCTTCTACAGAGAAGTGCTAAAATTCAAAATAAGCCAACAACACATTTCAAGGTTATGCAGAGCTTTTGGACCCAACACCAAATTATCAAACTGTTTGGAACAAAGATTTTCCCTAAGCACTAGAGAGTGAGCACTCTATAGGGCAGCTGTTGAGAATATCTCTCATCTAAATGAATCTAGAATACTACAAGCTGTATATAACACTTGGGTCAATGAGAATAGTCAAGTTTGAACCCACGATGTATAAAGTTACCATGGACACGAAGTGAGGTCACTGGAAAGGATGTCATTTCTTCACCCTTAAAGTCACAAGTAAACTCCTGTAGCGCCATGGCATTCAGTCCCCAGCTACCAACCAGCTGGGCAAGTTCCATTTGTCTAATAACAGCAACACCCTTCTACCTGTTCCTCATTGAACCGCCATAAAGGGTTGCTTACCTTGACTGCCAAGTGGTCTTCCCAGTCATTGGTAAGGCTCTTATAGAACTCTCCATATTCCTCCTGGGTGATGTCATCAGGGTTCCTGGTCCAAATGGGCTTGGTCTTGTTCAGTTCTTCATGATCAATGTATTTCTCCTTAATCTTCTTTGTTTTCTTTTTCTTATCCTTAGCACTATCATCCTCCTCATCTGAGCCCACATCTTCAATCTTGGGTTTCTCCTCATCATCTTTATCTTCATCATCTTTCTCCCCTTTCTCTTCCTCTGCTTCATCATCACTGATTTCTTTCTCTCGTTCCTTCTCCAACTGAAAGTACCAAGGACAATAGTTTCAGAGTACAGAACACCAGGAAAATAAATAAATCAAGGACCCTGCAATTCTCCACAGAAGCAGGTACCATTCATGTGAGGTTTTTTCCAGTCCATACTCACATAAAGGGTGATGGGATAACCTATGAACTGTGAGTGCTTCTTCACCACTTCTTTGACCCGCCTCTCCTCTAAGTACTCTGTCTGGTCTTCTTTAAGGTGAAGGATCACTTTGGTACCCCGGCCAATGGGCTCACCTAAAAAATGAATGAATAAATTAAAGGCACTCACAATGGAGTATTAAGGAAATGAAAGTAAATGCAGAGCTGTAGTGAAAGGTTAACTGCTTTACAGACAGGACACTGAAGACGTCTATTTCAGGTTTCCCCAAAATTCAAACCCCAACACCTTTACAGGAAAGCCAGCCTACCATGGTCAGCTCGCACAGTGAAAGAACCCCCAGCAGAAGACTCCCAGGCATACTGCTCATCGTCATTGTGTTTTGTGATCACAACTACTTTCTCTGCCACCAGGTAGGCAGAATAAAAGCCAACACCAAACTGCCCAATCATGGAGATGTCTGCACCAGCCTGCCAAAAAAAAAAAAAAAAAAAAAAGTTTTGAAAAAACAGCCAAAGAACATAGATAAATGGTGTGCCTAGCTGAAATACCATGTACCTGAAGAGCTTCCATAAATGCTTTTGTACCGGACTTGGCAATGGTTCCCAGATTATTTACAAGATCAGCTTTGGTCATGCCAATGCCTGTGTCTACCAGAGTCAAAGTGCGTTCCTGAGGGTTGGGGATGATGTCAATTTTCAGCTCTTTACCACTGTCCAACTTGGAAGGGTCAGTCAGGCTCTCATAGCGTATCTTGTCCAAGGCCTAAAAACACAAATTGCAATTTGTACAATTCTGCTTTCTTAATACCTCTTCATCCAAAAAAACACCCTTTTTTGCTATCTACTCCCAAAACAGCCTCAAATCTGATAACCCCTTAAGGTTTAAGAACCACATACAGTTGCCTTTAATATCCCATCCAACCACATACAGCAAGACAAACGTTTTTCAAATGCAAGGTTTATCCCCCCCTTCAATAGTAGACCCCACAAAATCCCCCAAAATAAACCAAAACACCACCACCCATGAAGACTGCCAGAGCACTCACATCAGAAGCATTACTAATCAACTCCCGAAGGAAAATTTCCTTGTTAGAGTAGAAGGTATTGATGATGAGAGACATGAGTTGGGCAATTTCTGCCTGGAAAGCAAAAGTCTCCACCTCCTCCTCTCCATGGTGTACTTCCTCAGGCATCTAGAATAAGAACAGTCAAAAATGACAAAGAAATGTGATGGCACAAATTTGAGACTACTAAAGTCCACTACAATTATAATGAAAAAATTTAAAAACTTAGTTCAAATTGCTTTGACCTGGGTACTATCCATTTCCAAAAGACTATAGAGCCTTTTCTTCAAAGATTTCAAGCTGTAAGCTTGGTCAGAAACCAACTGAGTGAGGAAAAACCAACATGTTTTTCAACAAAATAAAAGATCAGGGTTTTTGGAGGCCAAACTACTCTAAGTGGTCCATGGACCAAAAGCTTCAGCATCACCTAGCAGCTTCTTAAAAATACAGAATAGTGGCCCCAACCCACGTTACCTCAAGTAAGAATCCCAGGAAATCCACACGTATTTATAGCTAGAAATCACTCACTACACTTCTATTATCTTTCTTGGTACCAAATGGAGGGAAAAAAACCCAAGGTCACTAGTTTTACTGTTTAAATGGCAATGATCAGAAAGTGCTCCCTCATTAGAAATATCAGTGCGATACCAGCCTGGGGGTCCATTAAAACAAAGAACAGAGCAAAAAACTCAATCCTGACCCTTCAGCACACATGACTATAAAGCAAAGGCCTAAACCAAACACAACTAAGATGGTGGCCTTGGT